AAAAAAAAAAAAAAAAGAAGCCAGCCTCTCCTCATCTTCATGGAGAGTGTCAGAGGAAATTGTTTCCTCTCCCCACTGCTAACCCATTGCCAAGAAAATTTCTAGATCTGGAACAGGTCCATCTGTTATCAAGTTCCATGCTTCATTATGCAACACTTGGAGTTGATGAATGCCTAAAAAGACTGCTCATCTATCTCCAGAAGGTGACTGGTGTCTTTAAAGTCTTTTCTATTTTGCAGGAATAGGACCAACCATTTACATGCACTTTTTTCAGATACAGCTAGTTGTAGAAGCTTTAGCTTCTGCCTGAGATGGAGCCTTCCCCAGGATTCTTGTTGCACACTTTTCCTTCTCAATCTGTAGTGTTCAGGCGTGATGTAGTTACCCTTCTCTCTTTCCAGTCCCCAAATTATGAGAGGACAAAGATCAGGTGGGGTAGCATGTTAGCTCCTCGTTGGCCAACATGTTTTAGTTCTCCAAAACTAAAAATATTAATATTAATATTTCATAGAAATGATTTCTGGTCTTGTGTAATCTCCCAGGAATATGCATCTCAGGTTCTGGAGAATCTTTCAATAATGATGGTAGACTAATGTGTCTCTTAAAAAAAATTAGAAGGAAGCCRTCATGCTAATTGATGCGGCTTGCCCTCCAGTTTGTTTTGACCACACCCACTTTTTTAGATATATAAAAATGTCTTTACAAAGGTAGAGAGAGGAAAGAGTTGTAATTGTCTTCTTTTATTAAAAAAATCTCCTAGCAATAAGCCATTGTATGTTTTGTGCCAGAGTGTGTGACATTCCAAGTATCCACTTTTTCTGCATAAGAATACAAATTTCTGTTTCCTGCTTCATCAGGGTGTGTAGGGTTTGTGGGTGTGYGAGGCTTTTATCAGCCTGGAAAGTTAGGTAATCTCTTCTTTCCTGTGATGCTGTAGAATGTGTTATGCTTGAACCACCAAGAAAATGGTCTGAGAGCTGAAGATTGTTTATCTTCAGTGRAATATCGACATACGGCCTTTGACTACTTCCAGTACACTGGATGTGTGCAGGCCAGATCTGTCTGGGAGTCATCTTTGGCTAACTTTAAATTAGAAAAGGCAGACATAATTTTTGACAGGAAGGTTTTGTWGGTCTGAGAGGGGCAATACAATAGGAAGCAATGTGTTGCCAGACAATTAGACCTTAATATTTCTTATCTGCATCACAAGTATGGGGAACTTGTATCACCTATGTCCTTGATGGATGCCTAGTAAGATCTCTTCTTCTATATGTGTTTCATGTATTCTGTTGATTCATTTTTCATTTTAGTACAGAATGGGGAAACTTCTAGAAATCTTAACAATTCTGAGGGTAAAAGAATGCATTTGCTGTCTAGCACTAATGTGTACTTTTCCTTTTCTGACAGCACGAATAACAACTATGTCAACTTCCGCCACGCCTTCTTCCTTCCTATCTAGGGCAACACATTTTTATTGCCCTTACCTTTGTTTAGACCTTTGAAGGACTGAATCCAGCTTTTGAAATAGGTGTTCAGGACATATTCTTCTCATGCACTCAATAAATGTTCTTTTTGTCTTTTAATGGTTGCCGTTTAATAGATGGAGAGTTACCTGCAAAGGAAATATTTCAGGGATAGCGTTTTGAGGGTAAACATAATTAAAGTTCAAAAGTTCAAGAACTTTTTGTGCTTAAAACAACACAGTCAAGAAAGCAACAAAATATGGAAGGGGACAACAAGTAACTTTTTCCATAAACCAGAGTGTTTTTAAAATTCTTAATCTGGGATAGAGATATCACATGAAAATCAAAGGGTAGGGAGAATAAGAGTGAAAACWGTGTCTTCTGTGTGAAATGTTTGTTTCTTAGGACATTCAGATATAAGAGAAATACATAGGAAACAAAATAGGCTGAAGTGCTCAAAATGGGTTTTTGGAGTGAGATGAAAACTGATGAGTTTGAAAGCAAAAGGGTTATTTTAGCTGGAAACCTGAATGCAGATTGCATCCTCAAAAAAGATGGATAGCAGTGTGTTTCTTAAAAGAAATTTTCATCTAAAAAAGCCCCACATGAGTAACAGCAACAGGATTTTGTGATGCTGCTCTGAAGATTAAATGCATGTGGGAGTTGAATTTGTGTTGTCAGGCAGGCGCAGCCTCCTGGTGCATGATTTTCAAAAGGTGAAATTCCTGTTTTTGTTGTGCTAGGGAAATAGGATTGTATTTGTGTGCTCAGTAACAGATCTTCACAACAACTTTGAAAGGGTGGCTCAAGAAGTGAAGAACAACTTGGCATGAGTGTGATAGAATAATCTTTGTTTGACTTCGTTCTTAATTTCTTTGTAACGACTGAATTTTATTTGAGAGAGTATACTCACAGTAGCAGATCAGGAAATCAAGTAGCCACATAGGACCCTGCAGAATGATATACAAAATCCTGTTAAGGCCAATACGCTTCAGTAGCTGCTTCTGAGAATGTGGGAAGAAGGATTATGGATCTTAGTGAAATGAAGCAGAAATTTCTTTAATCATTACAAATTTGCTTCTGACTCTCTGTTGCTATCCTGTTGAATGTGAACATGCACTCATATTTCTGTAGTCTGCATGAAGAAGTGCTTGTTTCTATTTAATAAATWTCAAGATTTTTAATGATTAGAGGAGTATTTAACCACCTGAATGATACACAGAAATTGCAGACTCTGGCTTGCAAACAGTTGAAGAAACTTCTCCTTGTTCTTACACTGGAAAACACTGCACAGTTGTGTTTAAATTCTGTAGTTTTGCTACACAGTACTGTAGTTATACCAACCCATTAAACTGCCATCAGGTGTTGGCTGGTCGGTTACATTTGTTCACTAACTTTTATAGTGAGATGTCAGGGTTAGATGATTTTATTGTGGGAGGAATTGCTCTGTTTTGAATTAAATTATACAGGAAATTCTGGCATTCTTATTTTTATTCTTTTTTTGTAATCCCTTTTGCCCACAAGATTCCTCTTTCTTCTCCATTCTCAGGTTTTCTAGTTTCAAACTGCAGGATTTTTTCTTGTGGGGAGTTAGAAATGCAGGTTGTTTCTAGGCAACGCACATTTTAGTCTCAAGGCTTTGGCACCACAATCCTTTGGAAGTTGCATCAGAGTTAGATTTTTAATTTTCTTTTAATAGGTCAGAGTTGGAGAGTGGAGCAGGCTTTTATAATAAATGACTTTTTTTTTTCATCTAGAGAACACAGAATAAATTCAGAGAACCAGATCAGAGAAGCTTGTTTCACTTCCAACCATTCAGTTTCCAAACTGCTTGAATATGCACTGAAGCCATCTCCTTGAAATAGTCCTGTCCTTAAAATAGCACTCGTGATGCATGCAGTTACGAGGGCATTGTGGCTGCGTGTTTGTCCATGCAGCTCTTGGGTGTTATGGTGGGAGATGAAGAATTGGTGCTGGTCCTGCCTGCTCAGCCCCTTTTCCTTCACCTGCAGCACTGCAGCCTGTGCTATGGCTGGCAAGCATTACCACTTTTGTATTTGAAAATGAATAGTGCATAATTGTAAAGGTTTTGAATTGGGCCCTTTTTTTTGGAGTTGTTCTTCAGGAATGGTGCTTTCAACAGGATTAATATATTGTAAGCATGTGTGTATTAATTATAAAATCCTGACTTCTTGATCTCTTACAGGATTCTTTTAATGTTTTTGTATATTTCTTATCCTGAAATGTCAAGCCATTGTGTGGATTATAAGTCATGTTGAATTGAGCCAGCTAATGGCAGTTATACATCACTTTTTGTGAGGTAGTTCTGGATCATGGCATCTTTCCTGCAGAGAGACCGGAAGGCCTGAGTTTTCTGCTTATGCAGAGACCAACATGAATGTGGGAGAGCTTCACACACATGCACCAGTCTGCTGGCATCCTGCATGAAGTGCTGGAAAAGTGAAAAAACCATGTCTTTATCCTGTCATCTATGTTTATTTCCATATTTATGTTTTAGCCTCATATTTCCTTGAATTGAAGTAGCATTATTTACAGAACTGCTTGGTTGCAGGAACTCTTGAAAAATATTCCTGTTCCATTAGAAAACAAAATAGGATAACAAACATCACAAAGATTATCAGAATTTGAGAAGCACTGGCCCAGGATAAATGTTGTATAACATCTCTGGCATTCAGTTTAAGCTGACACAGACAAGAAAATCTGGTCTGCAGTGCTCAAATCCTTTCTTGGAGTAGGCAGTTATTTAGCAAGAAGTTAAATGATTTACTATTATAAGAAAAATTTGAATACAAGCATTCTCTTACCTCATATAGAAATGAGCATTGTAAATGTGAAAGTGCCTTTTTCCTTGGGCTGCTAAGCAATCATTTGCCTTTTTTCTCGTGAGCAGGAGTGTAAACAAAATCACATCTTTATTTACTTAAAGCTATATCTGACTTCTTTTTAAATGATAAGGCTTTTTAAAGGAGCAGATACATAAAATAACACAATTTGTCAAGCTTGTATTTTTAGCTGTTAACACATGAAATTACTTTAAAACATAGTTTTGGTTGTGTTCCTTACCTTGGAAGAGATGAGGTCTGAAGATTGAAATATTAAATTTTAATTGTAGCTTTGATGTTTTTCCCCTAAAAGCTGGAATTTGATTTTTGGTTTCAATTCCTTACGTGTGGGGAAGATAACTTTGTTCTTTCTTGATAAGTCCTTAGTGCTTACCAAGTGCTTTGTTTACAACAAAACTGTATTGTCTGGCTTTTTCTACACAGTGTTGACAATTTTGGACTTGGTCTTCTGCTTCAGACCAAGCAGATAAAACGCATGGTGTCATCATATGTTGGAGAGAACGCTGAATTTGAACGCCAATATTTATCTGGTGAGCTTGAAGTCGAGCTGACACCACAGGTAAGGAGTGTCTCTAAGAGACTGGTGATTTCCTTTCATCTAGAATAMTGAGTAGAACAATGCTTAAGTGCTCTTACAAAATTGTTTTGCAATACAAATATTTTGCTTTTGTGCAGAAGGCACTTGTTATCTATGGTGGGCTGACCCTCAYTGGACTCCAGGTGCCCACCAAAGCTGCACTCTCACTCCCCTCAGCTGGACAGGGAAGAGAAAATACAATGAAAGTCTTATGGGTTGAAATAAGTAAAGGGAGAGATCACTCACCACTTACGATTATGGGCACAACATACTCAACGTGGGGAAATTAATTTAGTTTATACCAATCAAATCAGAGTAGGTTAAGCAAATAAAAGCAAATCCTAACACCCCCTCCCCCCGCCCACTTTGCCCCAGCTCTCCCTTTTTCCCATCTGCAACCTTATTCATGATTAACCTCTTTCCTGCTGGTGGCACAGGGGGTCGTAGTCAGTTCATCACACATAGTGCCGTGCCTTCCTGCTCAGTAGGACCCCTCACACCTTTCCCCTGCTCCACTGTGGGTCCCTTSCACAGGATCAGTCCTTAGGAGCAGGCTGCTCCAGCACGGGCTTCCCATGGGGTCACAGCCTCCTTTCAGGCATTTACTTGCTTGGCCAGGGGATCCTCCGGGGGCTGCAGGGGGATCTCTGATCCCATGGGCCCACCATGGGTGGCAGGGGCACCATGGCTCTCCAGTGCCCAAAGCACCTCCTGCACCTCCTCCTTYACTTGYCTTGGTGTCTGCAGAGCTGCTCCTCTCACACATTGTGACTTCTCTCTGCTCTGGATGCATTTTCATCTGTGCAAGAAGTTCTTTCTCCTTCTTTAGTAGGTTGTCCCAGAGGCACTGCCACTGTAACTAATGGGCTGAGCCTTGGAACTGGCACTGGCTTTGTGGACATGGGGGAAGCTTCTAGCATCTTTTCACAGAAGCCACCCCTCTAGTCACCAAAACCTTGCAAACACAATACACCATCTTAGGGTCATGGCTCTTTTAAGAACTGAGTCTCTGTGTGAATTCCTTTTTTAAAAATTTGATCAATTAATTAATACATTATATTAATTTGAAGTGTGTATATATATATATATATATGCATATGTCTGGTTTTTTTTGAGGATTGGAGAAAAAGGTATAAGCATGTTCAGTACCGTGGCCCCATAACAGGGGAAGGAAATCAAGGAGGGGCTCGGTTCCCATCTTGGCGGCAGCTTTCGGGGATGTCTCGTGTGCAGTGCCTGCCATCTAGTGGGCAGGAGTCAAATGAGGAGATTACGTTCGTTGTGAGGCAAAACCCTTTCTGACTTGTTCCTTAATTCTTAACGAAATTTATCTCTGCACACTATTATGAGCCAATTTACAACTTCACTATTTAGTACCATAGTTTTAGTTTGTTGGCACTCTTAAGCTGCCCAAACAGCATGAATGAACTGAGATCCCAAAATCATCAATATCAATTATGTCCTATTGGGATTAACTTTTGTGAAGTTGGTGCTCTAACTTTAAACCTACAGCATGTCAGTGTGTGGCATTTTCAGCGGTGACACATAATCTTTGGACTTTACACAGCTATTTAGATAAGTTTCTAGGAAAAATAAGCACRTTAAGTTTTTATTGAGAGTGGTATCCTGAGCTCCCTCTCTTGTGAATCACAGAATGGGTCAGGTTGGAAGGGCCCACAGTGGTCATCTGGTCCAACCTCCCTGCTCAAGTGGGGYCATCCCAGAGCACAAAGCATAGGATTATATCCAGATGGTTCTTGTGTGTCTCCAGGGAGGGAGACTCCACCACCTTCCTGGGCAGACTSTTTCAATGTATGGTCAGTCGGACAGCAAGAACGTTCTTCCTCATGGTCAGYTGGAACTTCTGTGCATCAGTTTCTGCCCATTAACTCTTGTCTTATTGCTCAGAGTCACCGAGCAGAGCCTGGCTGCCTTCTCCTGACAGCCCTTCTTCAAATACTTATTGGCACCAATAAGATTCTTTCTCAGTCACCTCTTCTTGAGGCTGAACAGGCCCAGCTCCCTCAGCCTTTTGTCATAAGAGAGATACTCCCTTCTGCCCTTAAGCATTTTTGTTACCATTCACTGGATCCACTCCAGGAGTCTCTCTTGTCCTGAGGAGCCCAGAACTGGASACAGCAGTCCAGATACGGCCTCACCAGGGTTCAGTAGAGGGGCAGAGTCATGTCCCATGACCTGTTGCAAATGCTSTTCTTGATGCAGCCCAGGATACCACTGGCCTTGGCCACAAGRGCACTGCTGGKTTGTGGGCAGTTTGTTYTCCATCAAGGCCCCCAGGTCCTTCTCCTGGAGCTGCTTCCCAGCAGATCAGCCCCAGCCCATGCTGGTGCAGGRAGTTATTTCTCCCCAGGTGCAGCGCCCTGCATTTGACTTCATTGAATTTGAAATTATTCTATTCTACCCATCTCCCCAACCTGTTRAGGTCCCTCTGAAGGGCTCAACAGCTCTCTGGGGTATCAGCCATTCCTCCCAGGTTTGTACCATTAACAAACTGGCTGGGGAATGCTTCTGCATCCTCCAAGATGTTGATGAATAAGTTAAACAATACAGAGCCTTGTATTTACCCCTGGGCGACATCAGTAGTGACAAGCCTCCAATTAGACCCTGTGCCACTGATTATGATGCTCTGGAATCATCTGTTCAGCCAGTTCTCAATCCATCTTACTGACTTCTCACCCAGTCCATACTTTATGAGAATGCTGTGAGAGACTGTTTCCTAGAATTCCCAAGATGAGTGGAAAASCTCCTTTTATGCTCATTCAGCAGACCTGAAAATAGTCAAACACTAGTCATTGTCTAGTGTTTCAAATGTCACAAATCTCACAATGCCCTTTTTCCTTCCTATTTAATATTCAGTACTTTCATCTAGAGGGTTTGGGCTCCCTAGACASGTAGTTGGCTTTGTGGACCACAGATAAGCTATGTAGATCCAGCATGGAATTAATGGGTCTACAGTGTGTAATTGTAAACAGTAAGATGAATTAATTACTTTCTAGGAGCTATGGGGATTTGAAATATTTGTGTCCAGGAAAACAATCTTTTTTAGAAAACTTTGGTGTGCGCTTAGACAAAATGAGAGACTTTTGTGTTATTGTTGCATAGTAAAYGAGAGATCATGGTGAGATCTTGAAATGCTAAGGCTCCCTGGAACACTAGACTTTGTATCATTGCATGGTTTGCATCTTGCCATCATTTTGAAAACCCGCTTGAAGTCTGTGTTTCTTGCAAGATAACTGGGGAAAATGCAATCTATGCTTTAGAGTCTGTTAAGCTGGATAATTGACCATGATGTTCTTGTCTTGCTTTGAATCCAGAAAAATATATTTAAAAAAAAAAAATCCAGGAAATGACAATAATGAAAAGCAAATGCATATTGTTGGCARTAAATCCATGATGAAGGCTGATGAGGAATTTTTGCTGGACATAGAGAAGAATGCAGACAGGGTGGTCAAATAGAGTATAAATATGGCTCTGTCAGCTTCTTGGTATTCTTGGCATGGGCAACCCAGATCACTGGACTCCCTCTAACTTCTCAGTGTGCCATGCTTGGCAATTTCAACTTGGAGTGGATTCTGAAGTTTTTCTTAGGATGCTGAAGAATGAACATCAATGTGTAGGACTGTTAGAGAAGAAAATTTTTCTGGGGTATGTACCCATGTGGGAAAGAGAAAAAGAACTCTTGTAATATTCTCAGGGGTAATGGATTGGGAAACAAACTGAAGGAGAAGAGACACAGCCAGGTGTCTGGGATTTGTCAGGTAGTTGTATGACAGTGTCATCCTGAGCAGTTTATGACTGTGTCAAGCATTTTTACCAAATCCAGTACCAGTTCCACACAGGAAAGCTGAAATGTGAGGAAGAAACAGATGATCACATCTGTCTACTGAGTATCTAAGAAAAAGCTCCAAATGGCAGGACATAAAATAAAGTTAATGTAAGCCATTTATCAAAGTTTGATTTGTAGTTTCCAAACAATGACTTTTTAAATGTGTTTTCCTACAGGGTACACTCGCTGAACGTATTAGAGCAGGAGGAGCAGGAATCCCAGCATTTTACACCAGCACTGGCTATGGGACTCTGGTGCAGGAAGGGGGTGCACCCATCAAGTACAACACAGATGGCACCATTGCCATTGCCAGCCAGCCAAGAGAGGTAAGAGGCCTGAGTGCCATTAGAAAKCCTTCACTTATGAAAAATGAATTTCTAGATATTTGCAAGATAAACAGTAGTTTAAGGAGRAGTTAAGTTTAACCTTGCTATATTCCAGTAACTGGGTATCTGTGGAACCTGACATGTTAGTTTTGCTCCCATTGCTTACTTCTGACCTCTGTGATGTGTTAAAACAGTTTCTACAGTTCTAGAGTGATTTAGCATCAAGAACTGGTCCAAGTGAAAGCCTGTGTCACTGAGTTATTCTTCACCTTGCTGTTCTCTGACCAGGTCTGCTGTGTATTCTAACAAAGTTTTGTCCCAGGCCACTGTAGTGCATGGAGCTGTTTAAAAACAATCTCCTATTAGGGGGGCTGGTGCACTTTAAACCCTGTACCATGCAGTAAGCAGCCCTGCAGCTGTACGTGGAGCTTCAGCCTTAGGAGAAATGGGATGTTTTCCTGTTAAACTGGGAAGCTGACACAGATTCCAGGAAATGCATTTCCCAACATTGGATCCCAAGATTGCAGGAAATGCAAGTTAGTCTCAATATTTAAAGCTGCAAATGAATGAAAAGAGTGTGGCTTTCAAGGGAGAAACAAGGATTTAGTTTTGAAATTGGATGTAGAATTTTGAGTGAGGAAAAGAGATCTGTGCCACAATTTTACTTTAAGAAATGAGTGGGGCTAATATTGTGTGTTCTAATTAGGCTGCATACAAGATTAAATTTCTCATGGGTTAAGCTGATTCCCTCTAACCCATGACTTTAATGCATTTTACACATGACTATTTGCAGTATCTAGACATTGACTTAATATTTTTTATTCCCTTAATTTTTTTTTTACTGTATATGTCATTATGATGTTGTACCATTTGGAGGAATGTTTTGTTCTTTAAATAGCTTATAATTTTAAAACTTTTCATTTGATTTTCTTTTGACATATGTGGGAAAATCTCTCTTACTCTCCTCAGTCTAATAACTGAGAGGTCTAATAACATGACTATTGTGTTTTGTTTAATTCAATTCTCCACATCCATTTTCCATGGAAGTATCATTTAAAAAGGCTCAGATCTCCTTTTATGGTACTGAGCTGATTTCTGATACATACATTTCTCATACATCCTTCCCCTTTGAGCAGCTTCAAAAAGCTCTCAAGCAATATTTGTGTGTACTCCAACCCATTGTTAGAGTTAAGAGAGGTTAAGAGAGGTCCTCTTTTCTCTCTATATATGATTAAGACARCTGTGTCTCTGTTCCATATTTTGGCTTCAGACACAGTATCATTCATTGCAAATATTGATCACAAATGCAGAGAAAACCAAATGAAAATCAGTCTGTCAGATTACGTTATTTGAATAGTTTATCTCAAATGGACTTCATTTTGGATTTGGGGTTTCAGATGGTGGGCAGTGTTTATGAACTTTTTCAATAATTCTACATTAGCATTTCAGTTCTTGGTTAGCTGGTAAATGACAAAGCATGTCTAATTCCAGTAGATGGAGCTGGAGGAATGTGGATTCTCATGTTGTTTCACTAGACACATTGTGATAAAACAGGGATTTACAGCCTTTCCAGGCTTCTCTGTTATCATGCAGTTTCTCAGTTAAAACTTTATGCWGTACAAAAAGAAGTCACAATATAATAGTCTGTGAAATTAACACCTAAAATTAGTATTATGCATGAAATCTGCTGGAAGAAACCTGCATCTCAATTTTTCATTTTTCTCTGTAGGTGCGAGAGTTTGATGGCCGTCACTTTATTCTRGAGAAATCGATTACCGGAGATTTTGCTCTTGTGAAGGCATGGAAGGCTGATCGTGCAGGAAACATAATTTTCAGGTGTGGATTATTTACTGGTGGGAAAATATTATTTAATAGTTTAGTTAATGAAAGAGAAGGAGATTCCTGTCTCCTGTGTTACGGCAAAATGTTTTASTGATTTCACATTTTTCATGTTGCCTTTCCCTACAGTCAAATTGCACTGCTATAAAACACCGAAATATAATTACTTTTTCTAATGACTTCTGAGAATTCAAACATAGCTGTGAAATAAAACAGTGGTAGTTAAAAATGAGACATAGCAGACCAAAGTCGCTATGATAATGGTTGAGAAATTTAGTGATATTCTCTTCCTTTCAATTTTCATGTTAGTTTGGGTCCTTTTTCTTAAACAATTAAAGGCTGACCCAAGAAGTACAGGTTCATATAAGACAGATGAGAAAGAAACCGAGTCAGTCTTCTGGCCAGTCAGTGATGGGAAAACTGATTTTCTCTAAAGAAAACTGTGTTTAAAGTTGATTTGATCTCAGTGGTGTAGGGAGAGGCATCATATGAATTTAAACACCTTTGCAATGAAAATTTTGACATTACACTAGTGAGAAAATCTTTTATATGAAATCCTCTGTGTGTGTTCTGGATTGTCCTGAACTGAAGCAGGAGAGAGGTTTGCTTATGTTTAATGCCTGGTTTTTATTTGTTTGTCTTATGGCTATCAGATGAAAAGGTAAGTGTTGTAGTTTTCACTTGCARTTTATCACTGCAGATGCTGATTGAAAGTCTCTTTATACGTATTAGAACAAACAGGATGTTAAAAAGMAACAGAAAAATATGTGTATAAAATAATATTCATAAGGTATAGCTTTTCTTTACATATTATATTTATTATATTATATGTAKTAATAATATTAATATTATACAATAATGAATAATGAATAATATAAGATTAAAATACTTGGAAATTAATAAATAAGTTTTTATTTGCCCAAATCTTGACATCCTGACTTGCCACTGGCAAGGTGATAGGGTTTCTTGTTGAAACTAGAACTTTTTTATGTGAGTGCAGATGAATTTGATGGCTGCTAAACTGCTCTCATTAGGCTCTAGTACACGGAATACAGGAAACACTCTTCCCTCTTGGCCTTGTCTTTTTTTTGTTCCTGCGCCACTACTCTCTCTGTGTGTTTACCCTCTGTCTAGCTACTGATGCATRGTAGATATGTCTGAAAAATTCTTTCATCCTCCACAGAAACAGACTGGTTGTGTTTTCCTTTTACCCCCTTCCTTGATGTCCAGTTGTTCTCTATTCCTTTACTTCTTCCTGCTCCTTTCAGAAACCTTCCTATGTCTCCCACATTCACACAATACAGCTGATACAAGATACAACTTCCATCTGTAGTGAAGACCTAAAAATCTTCAGTCCTCCCTTCAATTGTAGCTGATCAAAGATGGAAACATCATCACCTGTCTCATTCCATACAGAATATTGTTAGCTCAAAGGATGTTGGGTATGATAAGCAGTGACCTATCCTGTTTGTGGATGAGACATGATTATCTGGTGACCTAGCACAGTGAAACACAGGCTCATCTTACAATTTGCTGTCTGCCACCACTTTCACTGCAGTGCAGTGCTATTCATAGTGTGTTTCCTGTGACTCTGTGGGGCCAATAGCAATGGTTTAAGTGTCTGACAAGCTGTTAATCACAAACTAAGAGCTTTTATAAATTTAAAGGATGTACTTTACATATGCTTACTTAGACTACAGGCTGGCATTCATTTTCTATCTATTCTCATACATCAAGCTATACTGTTGGAATCCAGAATGGAATCAACTTCTCTGGAAAGCTGTTTTTTAAACTGTTTGTTTTGTTTTGGGTTTTTTTAAAGTGATGCTTCATGGGCCCTAGATCTTTTGTTCCATACAGCATGTTGTGGCTGCTTTCATTCCAGGCACCTTCATGCTGGGTAGACTGAGTATCACTTATCAGTGCATCACTTATCAGTGGCTAGCTTTTGCCTAACAAAGGCCTGTTTCTGACCCAGTRGGCAATCCTTTTTGGGTACAGTGTATTAGCAAGACAAATAATCCAAGACTCCCTCAAACACAATGAAATAATCTCACCTTGTTCCTATGATAAATGAAAGGATGCATATATGGGCAAGTTGCTGTGTTAGTCTGATGCRGGTACTAGTTCCACATAGCTGAACAAAGTATCTCCAGGTCTAAACCTCCCTCGGAAATTTGCTTATTAGGGACATCAGGGAGTGCCATTGCTTCTGTGGATAGTCATCATCAAATCCCAGAATGGCCTGGTTTGGAAGGGACCTTGGAGATCATGCAGTTCCAGCCCCTGGTTCTGGGCAGGAGCACCCTTCAKGTTGCTCAGAGTTCCATCTAGCCTGGCCTTGAACACTTCTGGGAATGGGGCATCCACAATTTGTCTGAGCAACCTGTTTCAGTTCCTCACCACCCTCAGTAAAAAATTTCTCTCTAATATCAAGTTGAAAACACCCCTCTTTCAGTTTGAAGCCTGTCTCCCCTGTTTTGTCACTACATGCAGAACTTTTAAAAAGTCTCTCTCCATCTGTCTTGAATACTCCCTTCAGGTACTGAAAGGCTGCAGTTTGGTTACCTTGAAGCCTTCTCTTTTCCAGGCTTAACAATTCAAATTCTCTCAGCCTTTCCTTGTAGGAAAGGTCATCCCTCTGATCATCTTAGTGGCCTCCTTTGGACTGGCTCCAACAGATCCATGTCCTTCCTATGCTGGAACCCCAGGGCTGGATGCTCCAGGTGGGTCTCAGCAGAGTGGAGCAGAGGGGCAGAATCCCCTCCCTCCCCTGCTGCCCACGGTGCTCTGGGGGCAGCCCAGGACACGTTTGGCTCTCTGGGCTGTGAGTGCCATGGCCGTGGCATGTCCAGCTCTCACCCCCAGCACCCTCAAATCCTTCTGGGCAGGGCTGCTCTCGGTCTGTTCATCTCCAGCCTGGGCTGGTACCAGGGAAGGTCCCAACCAAGGAGCAGCACCAGCACCTGGTCTTGTTAAACCCCATCTGATTCCCATGTGCCACTTGTCTAGGTCCCTCTGGATGGCATCCCATCCTTCAGGGGAGCTAACAGCACCACTCAGCTGGGTGTCWTCTGCTTGTTTGCTGAGGGTGCACTCCATTCCTTCATCTATGACATTAATGAAGATATTAAATAACACTGGCCACAATACAGACTCCTGAGAGAGCACCAATTGTCACTGATGTCCACTGGGACTCTGAGCCATTGTCCCTTAACCTCTGGATGTGACTGTTGAACCAATTCTGCATCCACCAAACRTTGTATGCAATCAAATCCATCTCACTCCAAACTAGACATGTTGTGGGGCTGTAAAGCCATGTCAAAGGCTTTGCAGAGGTTCAGATAAATAATATCTGTAGCCATTTCCTATCCACTGATGTGGTCACTCCATCATAGAAGGCCACTATATTGGTCAGGCAGGACTTGCCCTCGGTGAAGCTGTGCTGGCTGTCCCAAATCGCCTCCCTGTCCTCCCTGTGACTCAGCACAGGTTCTAGGATTATGCACTATGATCTTCCCAGGCAGAGAGATGGGATTGGCAGGTCAGTAGTGCCTGACATCCTCCTTTAAAGCTTTTTAAAGATGGGAACCATCTTTCCCTGTTTCTAGCCACCTGGTCACCTGACTGCCATGACTTTTCAAATATGGAGAGTGGCTTGTCTGCCTCCTTAGGTTCCCCTCCCTTTTCATCTGGTACCGTTCTGCTTTGGAGTTTTTCTAACCCAACATGGTTCAACTTTACAAGCAAATGTGTGGCTTGTTGGTGATGAAAACAAACTAGTGATAAAGGAGCAGAAAAGTTGAAGGGATGACCTGAGTCAGAGCCTCTGCTGTCACAGTCTTGTAAGGTCATCTCTTCATCTAGTTCTACAATACATAAATTCAGCTCATACCTGAGGGGTCCCTGCACCTTTGTACCATTAGGTATGTAGTGGCTGTAGCTTGTTGGTTTAGTCTGCTATGAAACAGTTTTCTGTATTTTGCCTCTGGGATAAAAGATGTCATGCCTTTGGGCCAGCTTAGAAATCCAGTGGAACAATGGAACTTTGTAGTCGTTGCTGACTCTAGATGTTCAGAAAATTATCTTAAAATGAAAAGACAACTTTGTCTAGCTAGTTTTTTAATTTCCTACTGCTAACCCCTTAACATTATCCTGTGTTGGAAAATAAGAGTAGTGCTTCTGGTTTTTCTCCTTCTGGATGATGCTATCTTTAGAAATAAGGCCTTTGATCCTACGAAACTTCTGGATGGTGTATTCTTTAAAAATAAAACCTTTAATTCTGTAAAAGACTGCTGCTTCTGAAACAACTTTACTAAGTCAAGAACAGTCTAAATGGCAGAAGCTTTTATAAATTATGTCAGATTAGAGCCCATTAGCTCTTAATGTCAAACTAACATTGAAATGCTTTCTTGTATTTTTTTCCCAATGCAAAAATAATTTTATATCAGAATCTTTTACTGTCAAAATAGCCACTGCAATCTTGAGAGTATTTGTGTCAGAAAAGTAGTCATATGGGAAGAAATATTGAATTGTTACTTTTGTCATCTCTCTTCTCCCGTCTGTATCCTTTCCTCAGCTATTTTAATTTTGCTTTTGAAACTCCTCTTTCTCTTCTTATTTGCAACTTTACCTGGTTTAGTGTAGGTTTTCCTGAACCACTACTAACTAGTATTGTATTTGTCTCTCAGAGGAGAATATAAATTCACATTGTGGTTGGCTTTGCTTTTTTTTTTTTGTTTCTTATTCTTACATGCTTGTTTTGGGTCTATATAGCCATTGAGAATACTCTTGTGTAGAAGACAATCATAGAATCATAGAATCACAGAATATGCTGAGTTGGRAGGCATCCACAAGCATTGTCCAGTCCAGCTCCCCCAAGAATCACACCATGTGCCTGAGAGCATTGTCCAAACACTCCTTGAATTCAATCAGGCTGGTGCTGGGACCAGCACTGCCCAGGGGAGTCTGTTCCAGGCTCCATCGGGTGAAGAAGCTTTTCCTGATATTCAGCCTAAACCTCCCCTGACACAGCTTCAGGCCATTCCCTTGGGTSCTGTCACTGTCACCACAGAGCAGAGTTCAGTGCCTGTCCCTCCTCYMCTCCTGAGGAAGCTGTGACTGCACTGAGGGYTCCYCTCAGTCTGCTCCAGGCTGAACAGACCCAGTGCCCTCAGCCACTCCTCACTTGGCTTCCTCTCAAGGTCCCTGTCATGTCCCTCCTTTGGACACCGTCTGATAGTTTAATGTCTTTTTTACATTGTGGCACCCAAAACTGTCCCCAGCACTCGAGGTGAGGCCTCCCCAGCCCAGAGCAGAGCGGGACAATCCCCTCCCGTGCCCGGCTGCCGATGCTGTGCCTGATCCCCCCAGAACACGCTCGGCCCTTTGTTAGAGGCTTTGTCAATAAAGCAGCATTTTCCCAAGCCAGATGCCTTTGGGTATACTTTGATCGCTCCGGTGTCGGCAGCACAGATCCCGTCGGAGCGGCTGCGGTGCCGGGGTTGGGCCGCGTCCCTGCCGTGCCCGCCGGAGCCCCGAGGGGGCAGCAGCGCCCCGCGSTTCGCAGCGGCTCCGGACGGTCCGAGCGCGGACGGACGGACGGACAGACGGACAGAGGGCGAGCACACGGGAGCGCAGCGGCTGGACTCCATCCTCCTGACTCCATCCTCCTTTTGCCAGCTTCAACGATTCTGTGATTCTATGAAATAAGGGTGATCAGGAGGAAAAAAAAGCTTCCATGGAAATACGGCGTTTTGGAACCTGTTTCATGGATTTAGATGAAAAATTTCCAGGGATTTTACTTTTTAAAGGAGAAAAATGCCGAGAGGCTAGCAATAGAAGACCAGTAAAACCTTCAKAATTTTTCTTAGTTATTAAATGTGCCACACAGTTTGTTTGGTTTCTGAAAAGTACATAGAGGGGCTTACAGATAATTTGTTTCCGCTATTCCTACTAGGATTTTGGGGCAGATCCCAAAGCAGGTATACATGTCATGTTGCTTTTATTCTCTAGAGATTCTTTTTCCTTGATTGAAAGATTCATTTCCTTGGTAGAGAAATGCTATGTGGGAATAATTAGGATGAATGCGAGAGTCATATAGTGAGTGCCAAAACTAACACAGTTTTTTGCTGTTTGGTTTTTTTTGGTTTTTTTTTTCTTGGTTTTTTTTAGTAAGAGAATTGGATTACATTTACCACTGGGTAAAGCGCTATCCCAAGTCATAGTCTGAGTTATAAAAACGTACTTGAGAGATTGTTAAGAAGGATGCTGGTCCCCTGTGGAGATTAATTTCATTCTTTGTGCAGCGAAATAAAGGCGTTGTGCAAAGTCCAGCTTGCCGCTGCTTCTGGATCTAATAAATGRAGATATCAGTAACATACCCAATTTCAATTAAACAATATGCTGATTGAAAGTCAAAAGAGCTGTAATGAATACTTTCTAATGTAGCAAAATATGGTTTCATTTCAGATGCATCTTGCACAATTCCATAATACTTTTTCCTCCCTTGTACTTTTTTTTTTTTTATTAGTTCTGCTATTTGGCAAAAAGCTTTGTGATGCTTATAATACAGACATACTTGTAGCTTGTCTCTGAAAAGTCTTTCATTGTATTGTTAAAGCCTTTAATATGTACTAATTCTCTCTTTTTTTTTCTTTTTTTTTCTTTTTTTTTTTTTTTTTTTTTTTTTTTTTTTTTTTTTTATAGGAAAACTGCAAGAAACTTCAACCAACCTATGTGCAAAGCTGCAAAGACAACTGTGGTAGAGGTAGGGAATTGAAACGTAGTAAGTCCTATACCAGTATAGTCAACATACCCCTTTGTTTAATGTGTTATTYTAGAGACAAGATGGGCAGATTTCAGATCACTGCAGGATTTCAAATCAGGGACAGTGGTCTAGCCTCTCTCCTTGGATTGCATCCTCCTGACATTATGCTCTGCTTTAGTGATTAATTACTTAGTTGCCCTACATCTGATCCTGACCAGGACATTGAGTTCACTGTGATCAGCCTTTGAAAGGGAAACAAAGCAAAAGCCCTCACATTTGTTAAATAAAGTAATATATGGATGGAAGAGGAAAAGAGTAGGTTAAGCTTGAGAGGATCCACATTAGACTTTATGCAAAACTTTTTGAAAAGAAAATCAAGTGTATAACAACACACATTAGGCAAATCATGGACGTATCACAGTTGTGGTCTCTAAACTCTAATAAATTGCGTAAATATCRCTCCATAATGAGATATAGATGTTTGGTTGTGTCATGAGAAAGAGGATGGACTAAATGATCTAGAACTTTCTTCCAATCTTTTTGCCATTTTTCTTTGTCTGAAATGATAATGTTTAAAAACATGAAGCTGCCTACACTAGAAAAATATTGGTGCTAAGGCATAGCAATATGTAAAAGATCGATTGCTCTACTAGCATTTTCTTCACTATCTGTTTTTTTAATATGGCTAATAAAAGCTAAATATGGTTAGGCAGTAAGATCAAGGAAAACTCTTCCAGACTATTTCTACTAAGTGCATAAGTAGATTAGGCTTTTATTTCTTCAGTTGTTTTTGTTTTTTTCTTTTCTTTTCTTTTTTTTTTTGGGGGGGGGTGGGGAGGGTGGTTTGGGTTTTGTTTGTTTGTTTGTTTGTGAGATGTTACTTGGAAAATATAGTATTTACCAGATGACCTACAGTGACAATGCAGCAAAACATTTTCATGTTTTGTTTTCAAGAAAGGTTTCAATTATTTTTCTATTTAAAAATTCAATGAAGAATCTTTCCTTCTAGACACTTGTCCTCATACCTTGTTCAGTCTGGTATTTGAAGAATTTAAGTAGATCAAAGCCTTCCACCTACATTCCATCTCATTCTCTTTCTGTTCTTCTATCTACGTCTGATAGGGTAGAATTTTCTTGTCAGTGAGCAGCTGATGTGACATTGTTCTTTTGTAATTCTACTTTTCAGTTGTTAGTAGAGCTGTTGTGAACTGTCCACTCTGAGCCTTACTGCATTTTCAATACCATTTAAAAAACTGTCAACCTTTTTTGCAAGATGTCAATTAATATTACTTTACAATTCTATTTTTATGGACAAATTAGATAAAAAATGCATAACCACAGATTTAGGACAAATATTTTGAGCCATCCTTGACTTAACTTCTAAATGTCATTCTTTCAAAGAGGAATTCAGAATGTTGTGTTTGGATTTAAGGGCTCAAACCCAGTGAATCAGGAGGAAATATCTCAATATGGTGTCTACTCATCCTCAGTACTGAGCATTATTAGCTGTCTTAGCTCATTCCTTAGGTAACTGAAGCAACTAAAATTCTGAGTTTTGCCTGACTCCTTAGTTCRTGTTGTTCAATGCATTATCAGTCAAGGGTGAAATTCTCAATCCCATTTACAGGGAGAAGAAAAAAGTTTGTGTAGGGTAGTATTTCATATACTATCTTGGCAGCAGGGATTTCTAAATTCTGGTGTTTGTTTCTAGCTCTGATTCTGTTTTTCACTGACTGAACATTTAACTGAATTTAAGCAGACAGTCCTAGTCTCTAGAAGTAGAGACCTGAAGCCAACCCTGCTCATTTTCATCAAAACATCTACAGGTCAGGCTTATCCTCAAAGATTTAGTGATTAATTGGGGTTTTCAGGATTGTAGTTTTCCGCCTCCCTCAGGTGTGCTTTGGTTTCTAATCATTGGTAAAAATATGAAATGGCATTTGGCATAGGAAGATACTGATGAAATATAAACTACTGGAAAACCAGTTTCAGTGGATCTATGAACTTGGTGAAAATAGGAAGCCAACTGGAAATCAGTTACATTTGTAAACTTGTCCTGCTAAGTYAACCCGAGGAACTGTGAAATCTGATGTGCACACGCAGTGAAAGACGTTATTTCTTTACTTCATACTGCTGTTCTCTGTGTGTTTTACACACTCTTTATCTGAAATACAGACAGRCACTTAATATTTGTAACAATTCAGAGGCAGAAGATTTTGGGGTGTGAAGGATGAGAGGCAAAAAAAGCGCCCCCCACTTCTCAACCTCACAGACTAATAGCTATTGTTTACTTAAAAATTCTCCTGTATTGTGAGAAGCAAGACTGGCTGTGCATAAAGGCTTCTGAAGAAGGAGTAAGTCAGGCTGTACTATTACCTGTTTTGTTTGGGACACACAGCGGAGAATTCCTGATTTTTGAAATGTCAGATTAAACTATCAGCTTTGTTTATTTTATTTTGTGAACTTCGGCCTCTGTTATTTAGAATAGGGAAATGGTCAGAAGCAGACATTCACTACTCATTTTGGGATCAGAAATACACAGATTGTAAACGTCTAATGAAATGCAACAAGTGCTTGCTGATCTACAATTTTTTTAACTGTTACATGCAGCTCTTTTGTTTATCTAAGTGAGAAGGTATAGGGCCTGCTTTCAAGATAATAAGGATGTATGCTGAGGAACAGATAACTGTAAAAATCCAACTATGCCAAGTCCAATGTAATTTATACTTTAATTTGAAGGGGAAAATTTAATTTAAAGGTCAAAAAGAATTTTCAACTGAATTGCATGATTTCTGTTATTTGGAAGTTAACCTTTGCAGAGACAAATATGAAGCAATTTTGCCAGCATCTGTTAGTTTGGCTTTATCTAGTTATAAAAGCAAAATGATGCAAGGGGTTCATCTGCTTCTCACTTCAGCTTGCAGAACTTGCCCAAGTTAAGCATGCAGTCAGACCTGTAGCTTTGTTTGAACCTGAGCTCACACATACACTCACCCTGAGGCTTTCAGCTATTTTCCACATCYATAAACACTTTCCTCCTAGTGCAAAGATGGGAGAATTGAGAAATCAGCTSATATAAAAGAAACTCAGGCATTACATACAAGCCACCAGCCTTTGTAAAGGTTGAAAGGAAGAGTGTGGCATGTGAAGAAACTTAAGGAGTTGCGTAGTGTTATAGATGTGGTAACAATTCCAACACAGCTGAACRAAGGTCATGCTGAATTGAGGAGGTGGTCAGGACCCTCAACAGAGCTGTTGAATTCTGTGATGGAAAATGAACTGCGAGGCAGCTTGGAGTTGCAGGGAGGCCTCTGGGATGTGTACCTGGACTCCTAGGGCAGGGTGCTTCTTAACGCRTGCATCTCACTGTGGAGACACCTCTGAGCAGAGGTCCGCTGGAGATTTTGGTCATGACATCTCATTTTTTTTGTAGGGAATTGGGGCAACCCAAAGCCATGGGAGAAAACACACTCTGACCTTGCCAGGTGTGGATGTTGTGACAACATGGGAAAGCGTGTTGTGAGCTTAGGTTCTTGCTTTATGCCAGAGAGGAGTACATAAACAACCCTAACTGTCCCAAGTGACCCTGATCTGTTTCATTGTTATTCTCTGCTGTGACACCTACTGAATATTTGTCCCCACTGAAGTGCTTTGAGATCTCAGCCATCGCCACAGTGAAAGTGTTTGGTAGTGGTAATGGTCAATATATTTAGAAATATTTATTGACTGGCTGTTTGAATATCCAGTTTGAATAATTTTCTTGTTCAGATCGCAGAAGATGGCTAAATATATCTCCTTGGGTAAATAGCATTTACACCTCAAATAATATCATGGGAGGGAAAAAAAGAGAGTGTACTTTCTCATAAAAATGCATTAAATAAAAATCATTAAGCCCTGCATTTTATCTCTGGTTGCCTAGTAACAACACAGCCACATCAGTGAGCACCATTTTCTCAGGTACAATGAACTGCGTGGCACTAAGGGACAGAATCAGACTGAAACAAGCTATTTGTATCCTGTTATCTGTGCTAAATCATGGCATCTGATTTTATTGAGGAAACTGGAAATGAACCTTTTGTGTGTGTGTCTGTCTATTCCTCCAAATGCTTTAAGAATGGCAAAACTTTCTTCACAGGCATAGTTCTGTTCTGAGGAATTCTTAGGTTTTTGCACAGTGACAGTTTACTATAAAAAGCCTGTAAGTACCATTTTAAAGTGAAACAATACTTAATAGAATCTTTTTTTGTCACCTGGATGGTCCAGCCATGGAGGTCAAAACTGAATCCTGGTAGAGGATGGACTTGGGATGGGCACAGACTTCACAGTARTGTGTTTATGTGAAACCACAGATCAGGATGAAGGATGTAGAATTGAGGTCCTTCRGTGCAAATGCTGTGACCACTGAGCTTTTGTGTTGCTATAGCTGTTTTTGATATGATTTGATTGCTCGGTGATGAGTCTGTGTGTGCTCAGGCAATGGTTGTGAGGGAGTATCCCATGGATCTGCAGTGGGGTAAAGGCTTTGTTTGAGAATCCCATTTGTCACAGTATGGACACTGAGCTTAGTCCTACCACATTACCATCTATTTTTGGCACAAGTGACAGTAATATGCCATAATATGGTTTGCCATAATATGGTTATATAATGAATTATATACATATATATATATATATATATATATATATATGTATAAATATAGAAATCTTTGCATCTTAAACATGTCAGTGGTTAGTCAGGGCTTTTGACTGCATAAGTGTATTTATGTGCCCAGACCTTGGCTGNTATATATATATATATATATATATATATATATATATGTGTATAAATATAGAAATCTTTGCATCTTAAACATGTCAGTGGTTAGTCAGGGCTTTTGACTGCATAAGTGTATTTATGTGCCCAGACCTTGGCTGAATCCTGAGTCAGAGATTCCTGTGGATCTGAATTTAGATAAGCCAAATATAGTGTGTARACATTACAATAACCTTTCCCAGAGGAA